TCTGCTGAGCACGATCTCCTCCGGCGTGCGTCTCAAATAAAGCTAACACATCCGTGTTATGTTTTTTCAAAATATATCCGATCGATTGTCTGAAATTAGGTTTATTGGTCCCCGGCAATTCCAGAATATAGCATTCATCATTAAAGCAAACCAATCGACAAGAATTCCCGGGGAAACCCGTCATAATCTTCGGAGCTCCGTCGACAGTGTTAAGATATGGCAAGTTATGATATCTTGACATATCAGTATATATTGTATTCACTCCTTTATGATTCATGAGTATATTCATTTAGGTTTACACGACTTGAATAAATACATAGACAGCCTTTTTGGCAGAATAATACAAGAAAACCTTTCATACTTCTAAGGTTTCTGACATTGTATCAGAGCAATAGCCACATACTCAAGGCTTTTGTTTGATCTATATTTTCTTGTTCCTTTCCTTGATCTAGTTTTGTCGTTCTATTTTCCCGACAAAATCTTTTCTCAATATGTCCTCTGTTTCAGAAAAACAAGTCGAGACTTCTTCTGCCAAATCACAACCTAGGCACGAGATCACAATGATTTGTCTGCGAGTGACAATCCTGGTTGTATGATATCGAAACCCTTGTTGTTGGGACACAATTACGACGAGTGGTCGACAAATCTTCGTGGTGCTCTGCTTGCTAGGAAGAAATTTGGCTTTGTTGATGGATCTCTTCCTCAACCAGCAGACAACGATGCTGATCTCGGAGACTGGTGGACCAACAACGCCTTGCTTGTGTCCTGGATCAAATTAACTATTGATCCGGAGTTGTGCTCTAGTATTTCACATTGTGATGTTGCGAAATACTTATAGGATCATATTCAACGTCGTTTTGCAGTTAAGAATGGACAACGTGTTCAAAGGCTGAAGACAGAACTCGTCAATTGTCGCCAGCACGGACTCGCCATTGAAGCTTACTACGGCAAGCTTACTAAACTTTGGAAATCTTTGGATGATTACCAAAAAGGGAAAACGATTGTAGACATAGAAAGAGAACGAGAAGAAGACAAGTTGCATCAATTTTTGATGGGAATTGATGAGTCTGCGTATGGTGCGGTGAAGTCGTCCCTTCTCTCTCGTACTCCACTTCCTACAGTTGATGAAGCTTATAATGTGCTGAGTCAAGATGAACAGTCCAAAGCCAATGTACGACTACAAGAGGAACGTGCAACGGAGGTTGGTTTCGCTGTTCGTACTGCTCCTAAAACACGAGGAGGAAGTGACCCTCGAGGAGGAGTTGACTCATGAGCTGCTGTGTGTGCAAGTTGTGGCCGTACTGGTCATGTTGCAGAAAACTGTTTTCGTACTCTTGGATATCCGCCATGGTGGGGAAACAGACCACGCTCGACGCCTACTTCATCTTCTGCTCCAATACGCAACACTCATGGCGCTCCTACTACTCATCATGCTGCTCACATTGCCTTTGCTTCCGCGAACTCAATGATCACGAATGAGGATCGGATCGGTATTACGGGACTCGATGATGCTGAATGGAAATTGCTCAAAGACATGTTTAATGAGCGTAACTCCAAAGCTGGTCCAAATAATCCTGGTACGTTTCACTATAACTCATGGATTATTGACACAGGGGCCTCTAACCACATGACTGGTTCTGTGGATTTTCTTGTTGAAATCTCCAGTATGCAACCAATTTTGATTAAAATGCCTGACGGGCGCTTTACTACTTCTACAACTAAAGGCACTGTTATATTGGGGTCTCATCTTAGTCTCAGTAATGTGTTCTTTGTTGCTGGTTTGGATTGTCATCTGATATCAATTTCTCCGTTGAATCGCGACCGCGCTTGCGTGTTTCAAATCACTGACAAATTGTGCATTATTCAGAATCGCATCATGAGAACCTTGATTGGCGCCGGTGAACAGCACCATGGACTCTACTTCTTTCGAGGAATGGAAACCGCAGCGGCCTTGCAAATCTCGAGTCAAGCATCTATGGACGTGTGGCATCGTCGTTTAGGACATCCATCCTCTAAAGTCTTGGAGCTTCTACCTATTTCTGGTTTTAAAAGTAGTAATGTTGTTGACAATAAGGCGTGTGAAATTTGTATCAACGCTAAGCAAACAAAGGATTCTTTTCCAATAAGTTTGAATAAAACAGATGTTTTTCAACTTGTTCATTGCGACCTTTGGGGTCCACACCGGTCCACAACAATTTGAGGTTCTCGTTATTTTCTCACAATTTTCGATGATTACTCTCGTGCTGTCTGGATTTATCTTCTACCAAACAAACAAACTGCACCTTCTACTTTTAAAAATTTCATTGCTTTAGTGGAGAGAAAGTTTGAAAAACAAGTAAAATCGATACGAAGTGACAATGGGTCTGAGTTTGTGTGTCTTGCCTCCTACTTTCGCGAGAAAGGCATTTTTAACCTAACTTCTTGTGTTGGTACCCCACAGCAGAACGGTCGTGTTGAGCGTAAGCATCGACACATTCTAAATGTAGCTCGTGCTTTGCGTTTTCAAGCTTCACTTCCCGAAGAATTTTGGGGAGAATGTGCTCTAATAGCACCTTACTTGATAAATCGCACTCCGTCTACAGTTCTGGGGGGAAAACGCCTTTTGAAATGCTTTATAATCGTCCACCACCGCTCTCTCATATTCGTGTGTTTGGTTGTCAGTGTTACGTCCACAACCAAAAGCATGGAGGTGGCAAATTTGCTCCTCGGAGCACCAAAGCAGTCTTCATGGGATACCCTTATGGTAAAAAGGGCTGACGTGTCTATAATGTTGCTACTAAGACACTCTCTGTTTCACGTGACGTTATTTTTTGTGAAGATCAGTTTCCATTTTCAGAGAATTTTTCCTCCTCCTCAAGTTCTCTGATTACACTGGATGCTTTTCTCTCACCTTTGGAGGTTCCTACTACGTCCTCTCCCTTGGAGTCGTTGATTCCAGATCGTTCACCTCCTGCTTCTACACCTCTTGTCACTACTGAATCTAACTCACCATCAGTTTCAGCTTCAGAAATTCAGAACCCTATACAATCTGATTACGAGACCGATACGGAACCGGTTACACCTTCGCCACTCTCTGTTTCGGGTCCGCAACTTCTGAGTTCACCTGCTGCGCTTTCATCTTCACCACTGCTTGCTTCCCCAGCTAGTCCTACCTCTGATTCATCTCTCGACATACCTCTGTCATCATCAGACGATGAGGATGATCAAGAACCTGAAACTCTTGGTTTTGGTTTCCGGCAACGTCGACCTCCTGCTCGATTCGCGGACTACCAAGCTCATACGATTCTCGGCATTCCTCTAGTTGATGATGAAAATCCGTTTGCGCTTGGTTATTACGTCTATTCTTTGAATTTTTCTCCAAATCACCAAGCTTATTTACTCGCTATTTCAAGTCAAACAGAACCAAACTACTACTCTGAAGTTGTTCTTGATCTGCATTGGCGAGATGCTGTTGGTAATGAAATTGAAGCTCTTTAATTAAATCGCACCTGGAGTACTGCTACGTTACCACCGGGAAAGAAAGCTATCGGCTGCAAATGGGTATTTTGCCTTAAATACAAAGCCGATGGTACTCTCGAGCGATATAAGGCAAGACTCGTTGTTCTTGGAAACCGACAAGTAAAGGGTCAAGACTTCTCGGAAACATTTGCTCTGTTGCTAAGATGACTATGGTTCGTGCTTTTCTTGAGGTCTGTGCGGCTAACGATTGGGAAGTCCATCAACTGGACGTACACAACGCATTCCTTCACGGAGATCTTCATGAAGAAGTATATATGCAATTCCCGCCTGGTTTCCGCACTCAAGATAAGACACAAGTTCTTCGTCTCCATAAGTCTCTCTATGGTCTCCGACAGTCTCCCAGATGTTGGTTTGCCAAACTTCAAACATCTCTTCTTGAATATGGGTTTATTCAAGCTATTCCTGACTATTCGCTCTTAGTGTATGAAAATGGCAACGATCGCTTACATGTATTGGTGTACGTTGACGATCTTATAATCACCGGTAGCTCTCTGCATCTCATCACTGCTTTTAAAGGCTACCTTAGTGATTGCTTTCACATGAAAGATCTTGGCATCCTGAGGTAATTTTTGGGTATTGAAGTTGCTCGAAATGCAACAGGGATTTACTTGTGTCAACGCAAATATGCCATTGACATAATTTCTGAAACGGGGCTTCTTGATGCTAAACCGGTCGCTTTCCCTATCGAGCAAAATCACTAACTTGCTCTCGCCTCGGATGAACTTCTTGATGATCCTGCTCCTTATCGTCGTCTTGTTGGTAGTCTAGTCTATCTTGCCACCACTAGTCCTAAACTCTCGTATTCGATCCACATTCTATCGCAGTTCATGAAATCCCCAATAACTAATCATTGGGATGCTGCCATACGTGTTGTGAAGTTTCTTAAAACCGACCCGGTCAAGGTATTCTTCTTCAGGCCAACAAACCTCTTACTTTAACAGCATGGTGTGATGCGGATTATTCAGGTTGCCCGATAACACGTCGATCACTAACGGGCTGGTTCGTTCAGCTTGGAGACTCACCTGATCTCTTGGAAAACCAAGAAGCAAGACACTGTTTCACTATCCTCGGCAGAATCTGAATATCGAGCTATGCAACTTACGGTTAAAGAAGTTATGTGGCTGCGTTATCTTCTCAATGCTCTTGGTGTTCCAACTCCCGACCCGGTTCCACTATACTATGACAACATGGCAGCGATACACATCAGCAACAATCCCGTCTTTCACGAACGGACTAAACACATCGAGAATGACTGTCATTTTGTTCGACAAGCAATTGTTAAAGGGATTATCACCACCACACATATTTGGATGACAGAACAGTTGGCCGACATCATGACCAAAGCATTGGGGCACAAAGTGTTTGATAGTTTTCTTCTCAAGTTGGGTCTTCCGGATCTCCACGCTCCAACTTGAGGGGGGGTGTTAAGATATGGCAAGTTATGATATCTTGACATATCAGTATATATTGTATTCACTCCTTTATGATTCATGAGAATATTCGTTTAGGTTTACACGACTTGTATAAATACATAGACAGCCGCGTTGGCAGAATAATACAAGAAAACCTTTCATACTTCTAAGGTTTCTGACAGACAGTGCCGACGAGGATTCCTGAATCGCAAGCGTTCCACCCAAATCCATCTCGGCCACCGCCTCCCGAGCCCCATTCCGCGGCGCCTCCAGACTCCAACCACCTCCATCTCCAACCGCCGTGAAAGACCCACCAGGTCGGCCAGGATTAACACTCTCCACTCTCAGTCTCTTCCCCGACAAAGACATCTCCACTTCACCTCGTGTTGGGCCAAAAATCAATCCCCTATTAGGCCTTCCAACCTTAGTCGATTTAGCTTTAGGCCCGTTAACAACTCTCTCTTTTTTAGGCCCAGCCCATTTCTCATTAGGCCTTGCCCGATCAATCCCTTTCTCTTTACTTGTCATAACAAACTTAGCATTTTCCTTTACTTGCTCCTTACTCCTTTCTTCCGATGGTTTAACCACCAAACCCTCATTTTCCTTATTACCACCGCTCCCAAGATTTTCTTCCCTTTTTCTGATGGTATCGTATCCTCGCACAAGTTTCCAAAACTGTTTGCAATCACGATATTCCATGAATCATTCTTTCCCGTAATCTCCCGGAGATTGCGCCCATGATTCTCCTTCGATCCTCCGGCCGCGTGAAACTCACGTCGGGAATGTGCTTCCAACTTCTTCCCCGATCTCCTCCTGCATACCCACCGAAGTAAACTTTTGATACTCCTTCCATCGAATAAATGTGAGACTGCCAATACAACAACCAGTTTTTTGTTTTGGTATCCTGTATGAATTGTACATACTTATGCTTTTAGTATTACTTGCTAAATACTTGAATAGAACTAAGATATATTTATACTTTCATGTGTTTCTTTTACCTGAGCGACGAGAAGATGAGTAGAGTACTGTTTTTTGTATATGACACTAACTTTATCATAAACCATTCCAGGGTAGATTGTTTTATGGACTTGGACATATCCCCCTCGACACATCGCGTTGTAGCATCCGGTTTGGTGTCTACCTGACTGTTAAAATTAAAAATCAGGTTAATTAATGTATACTTATTTAGTTATGAACACATCAAAACCAAAGATATTTAAACTCATATCAAGGTTGAGAATTAGATTCTATATATATAAAGTTAGCTTTTTCTCTATTCTCCTTAAGCCACATCATCATCCACCTCATTTTATTATTTATTTTTTAAAATTAATTATACCATTTTATCATTTAATTTTAATATTTAAACCTATGTAAATAAGTTTTTCAAAAATGAATATGAAAGGTCTTTTTTTATATTATACATTATAAAACTAAAAAATATAATTGATTAAAAGTTAAAAGAAAAACTTACTAATTATCGATTATACTAACAAATATATAAATAATAGATTATAGTTTTAGTGAATGTTTAAAATATATATATGATTATATTTACACAATGTAAACCTAAATATAATGGGATTTAACGGGAATAGAGCAAAAAGTAAAAAATTTTGAGAATATAAATCTATCTAATTTATGTCTCAAAAAATTTCTAACATAAATGAGATAGGTCGGACCGAAACATGAATTCTCATTTTTATAAACATATAAAAAGGTAAAAATAAAAATAATATTTCTTTAAAAGTTTCCAATATGAATTTAACTATTTTTTTCCAATACAACACATATGTTAAACTAATAAACAAAATAAAAAATTAACTATATTTCATAAAATTGAAAATTAAAATAAAAAACATTATTAAATGAAATAAACTAAATTATTCTAATATGTTAAATTTAAAAATTGTTCCATATGAAAAAACAAAAAAATATATATAAAACATAAAATCAGAAAATATATAATAGTATATAAATGATCATTACGAGATATAAAGTACGACAAATCCAAAAAAGGAAAACGTAAAACAAAAAATAATAAATTATGACAATATATAAAGAGATAATGTAAACAATTAAAAATATAACAATCCGCCCGAAACCCACAAATCATGTTCAAATTTTATGCCAACATATAAAAGAGCCCAAAATATTAACATATATATCTATATTTGGTAAAAACCCTAATAGCACACGTTTTTCAATGATTCTCAACCGCACTTACATTTACGCCCACACTTGGACTTATACTATACACACTTAATTTCTCAACAACTAATGAAGCTAAAACTCAATAGTTTTTCTATACTAACACAATTTAAGTTTTAAAAAAGTAAAGTATGGTATAGTGAAAAAATAAGTAGAAAATAAAATACGAACTAATTACTCATAAACAACATAATAAACTCACGCGCGTAGCGCGGGCAACCGACTAGTAATATATAAAGTGTAACGTTACTTACTATCCAGAATGTTGTTAGCCTTGGACGATCATCTGCGTACAATCCTGTATGCACCTAAAAGACAAAATCAATTGCATTTGCGATAGCTTATAAGTTCATAACTCTGACATATATGATGATTTTAATGGACAGCTCTAGTTACATTTTGTAGTATACTTACAGCCCAACCGAATTGGATGCTGCTTATCGTATCATTTTCTCTGTGATTTAGCCAAACCCAAGCTTTGCTAAACTGATTTGTCAATACTCTTGGTTTGTAAATATTGAAAACTGCTGATGCTCCACCATATGCCCTTGTGTAATTTTCAAATGGTTTAATAATTGCATACTAACCAAAAATAATTTCTCATGTTATTACTTTATTTTTTTAAAAAAATAATAATAATTGTAGTTTAATGTCGTGGTTAAGATATACTTACTTGTAGGTTGGCTTCTGAAATCATTCTCTCCGGATGGATAAAATTATTAGTATAGTTAATCTGCGGTCTGTGAATCGGTACTTGTCCTTTAGGACAACGTTCTTCAGTTGTACCAGTGACCAGATCTGCTGCTTCCGGTTCCGGCTCCATCGATAGCATGGCTAGGAACTCGGCACTTGGTCTCATCTATACGATTTATACAAACAAAGCATTTGAGAAATAAATCTTGATGTGAAATATTTCCATGGTTATACGTTACATACATAAACTGTATATTGATAAACTCAACTTTATAACGATCATGAACACGTATATACCTGGATTTGGTGATCCTTCATCGATGGATGTTGCAATGCAGGTTGCTTATAGATGTCAACACACTCATATTCTAGTTCTCTCTGTCATAAACATTAGATATATGAGTCGACGTACATATATACAAACAAATAATGTAATAATTAAGTGTTATTGTATGACTACCTGAACTGATGGAGAGATATAATAAGAAAAAAAACAAATGAAGAGACATAATAACCAGTAGAAAGCCATAGCTTATTGTTTTGATCACATTCTGCTTTGCAGAACAACTTGGTATATATATATATCCTATCCTAGTAGTATATGCCATATTATCAATTCTAATATTTGATATATTAAGAACAGATCCTTTTTTTTTCGAGAAACTTTATAATTGTGAGCTAAATTAATCTCTTAATTAAATATAACTTTAATCCATTTGTTCTAAAATTCCAAGTTCTTTTTATTGTACAGTTTAGCAAAGTCTAACTAATAAACAGCGATGAGAAACAAAAACATTAGTAATAACTCCGGCTTCTTAAGTATTGTTATGTTTTAATTCTTCTTATATTTCAATTTTTCAATATTGAGCCAATTCGCTACTAGCTTTAGTCTTCAAGCTCACATGTATCCTTTGTCGAACTATTTCAGTAATCTTAGTTTAACATTTGCTATTAACCTTTTATGTTGTTTCTGTTTTGTCTCAAGCCATATTATCCTTGTATCATTGGCTACTTTCAACCTTGTTTGATTTAAAATTGTTTCTAAGTATTGTTATGTTTTAAAATTGGTGGAAATTAAGAAGATTAACTTAAATATAAATCTACAATACTCTTTTTTTTTGACGAAAAAATATAAATCTGCAATGCTTAAAAATATGGAAAAGCTCATCCAAAATACGATGATCAAAAATAAATAAAAAAATCGGAATTATGAAATTAAAAAAGGGCCATCTTTTCTTGCTTGTTTGTTTGTTTCTTTCGAGGTTTCCAGCTACTTTCATGAATTTCCCGTTGTCTATTTGCTTCATTGACTCGAATGTAAATGTTAGAGAAATTACTTCATATCAAAAATTTGTTTTAAATTATTAAAAACACAAAATTATGTATAAAACAAAATATAACCCTTGCTATAGCACGTATGCTGATCTAGTTATGCATCAAAGTAAAAAACTTTACCAAAATGAAAAAACAGATATACGATTTCCATGAAATTGCATATTTGCTTCATTAAATAGAATTTCCAAAGAAAGATAAAACTTTGTTTATCTTTCTTTTTCTAAAGAGAAATCATTGTGTTATAAGACTCTATTCTCTGTCAGTGGGGAACATCAGTGGAGAAACTTATAAAAAAAAGTGTTACCAAGCATAAAAAAACAAATAACTAAAGACTATATTATGAGTCAATGGGTCAACGTTCTTTGTTATGTTTAGAGAGTCTCTTTTGAAACTTGTGATCCTCCTTGATAAATCGAAAATAGTCGATTCTGGAATTTTCTGTGTATTGCTCTTTTGACCTTGAGGTCGTTTATATACAAGTTTACAATCAACCCTAAACGTGAACCACAAGTTGGATTCTTTACAAAATCAAAGATACGATATATGTAAATCTAAACTATGCGAATATACAAATATGCAATATGATATATTCTCCATTACCCCCCCCCCCCCTCAAGCTGGAGCATGAAGATCCAAAATGCCAAGCTTGTCACAAAACGCATCAAACTCCCGCTGACCCAATGCCTTAGTAAATATATCGGCCAGCTGCACAGTTGTAGAGACGTATGCTGTGGCTATATTACCGGACTTGATCTCATCACGGACAAAGTGGCAGTCCTTTTCTATATGTTTTGTTCGCTCGTGGAATACGGGATTAGAACTGATATGTAGAGCCGCCTTGTTGTCACAATAAAGACTCATAGGTTGAGTAAGAGCCACCCCTAAGTCAAGAAGAAGAGCCTTCAACCATTTGAGTTCCTTCGCAGTCCATGCCATTGCTCTATATTCAGCTTCAGCAGAGGATTGACTCACAACATTCTGCTTCTTTGTTTTCCAAGAAATAGGTGACTGCCCAAGAAGAATGAACCAACCGGTGGAAGAGCGTCTTGTTAATGGACAGCCTGCATAGTCGGAGTCACACCACCCATAAATCTGGAGATCACAGTCTGAGCGCAGCAAGATACCCTGCCCTGGACTCCCCTTTAAATACTTAAGAACCCTGAGAACAGCTTCCCAATGTTCCTCTCTTGGTGCACCCATAAATTGTGACAAGATGTGAACAGAATATGCGAGATCGGGTCTAGTAACACCAAGATAAATCAGTTTACCGACGAGTCTTCGGTATGGTTCAGGATTTGGCAGCAACGGACCTGTTGCTAAGCCAAGACGATGATGTTGTTCGAGAGGAAACAAAGCAGGCTTCGAATCGAGGAGACCAGTTTCAGCCAAGATGTCAAGAACATATTTTCTCTGACTCAAATAAATCCCAGTCGGACTTCTTGACACTTCAATTCCTAAAAAATATTTCAAAACACCAAGATCTTTCATGTGAAAGCATGTGTTTAAATATTCTTTGAAGTTATTAATCGCCTGAATTGTATTACCCGTAATGACCAAGTCATCCACATAAACCATCCTTATTTCTACTCATTTCTTCAGATAAACAAATAAAGAGTAGTCTGCATATGATTGTTCGAACCCATACTTCTCTAATGCAGACACGAGTTTAGCAAACCAACACCGCGGAGCTTGCTTCAACCCGTATAATGACTTCCTCAGTCTACACACTTTGCCATCATTTCGAGAAGGAAATCCAGGTGGCAGTCTCATGTACACTTCTTCTTCGAGATCGCCGTGAAGAAATGCATTGTGTACATCCATCTGATGCACTTCCCAATTTCGAGCCGAGACCACAGCAAGAAAAGATCTAACCGTGGTCATCTTAACAACTGGAGCGAATGTTTCACCATAATCGACTCCTTCGATTTGTCGATTCCCCATCACGACAAGTCTCGCTTTATATCGCTCTATCGTCCCGTCAGAACGATGTTTGATTCGAAACACCCATTGACAACCAATGGCCTTCTTGCCTTGTGGTAAATCTTCCAAGGTCCATGTTTGATTCAGCTAAAGTGAACCTATCTCACTATTAACAGCATTTTTCCAACGCTCATCTCTAACCGCTTCTGCAAAATTCTTTGGTTAATGTGCACTAGTAGTCGCTGCCAAGAAAACTCTATGATTGGCAGAGAAGTGATCGTTAGACACCACATCATTAATAGGATAGGGTTTTTCAGAATCAATGCAAACAAAGCTTGTGTCGTAGTTTCTAAGATATCCGGGAGGATGCCTTTCTTTTCCACTAACACGTACATGAGCTACATTGGGTACACTTGCAGAGGGTTCTCCATCATTTCGATCGATCGTGTCTACCACTTCTTCACTATTTGTATTCGATTCCGTCTCATCACATGATACATGATCTGTCGCATCTCTATTCAATTCTCCATCCGTATCGTCATTTGTCAACTCGACAATCTTAGCAGTTGTGTCTTTGTCTGCAATAATCGAGTCCGATATGTCCTCTTCCTCACCAACATCGACTTCTGCAGACATATAATGAAAAGTGTCTTCACGAAAGACAACATCGCTCGAGACAGCAAACACTCCTTTTTCAATGTCAAACACTCTCCATCCTTTCTTTCCGTACGGATACCCAACAAAAACACATTTTCTGCTACGACTCGCAAACTTGTCTCCTTTGTGATCTTGATTTCTGATATAACAAACACAGCCCACAATTTGAAGATTATCGTATGAAGGTTCTTTTCTGTATAATACTTCATAAGGTGTTTTCCCGTTCAACACCAAAGAAGGTGTTTGATTGATCAAATACGCGGCTGTGAGCGCACATTCTCCCCAAAACTAGACTGGCAAGTGTCCCTCTAACATAACGGCCCGGGCAACATTAAGCAAATGACGATGCTTACGTTCTACTCTTCCGTTTTGTTGAGGCGTTCCGACACACGACGTTTCATGGTGAATACCTTTCTCGAGAAAATACGTTGTCATAGACAAGAACTCACTGCCATTATCACTACGGACAGTTCGGACTTGTTTTCCAAATTGCCGATTCACCAATGCAAGAAAGTATTGAATTCGCTGGAGTCTAACTCTTTGCATTCATGAGATAAATCCAAGTACCACGTGAAAAATCATCTACGATAGTGAGAAAATATCTAGCTCCGGAGAATGACGGAGTTCTATACGGTCCCCAAACATCGCAATGAATCATTTCAAAAATCTCGGAAGTCTTATTACTGCTCAATGAAAAAGAACAACGAGTCTGTTTTGCGTGGATACAAACTTCACACGCTTTATTCGACAAATCACTAACACTAGCAAAATCAAAACCAGGTAACTTCTCCACTACTTTCAAAGACGGATGCCCCAAACGCCTATGCCACAGCTCCACACATTGCTTTCCTTTGCCTTTCGCGGTTGCTACAACCTCCGTATTTTGAAAGTACACCAAGCCTCCAACTGGTTTACCTATCCCAATCAGCGTCCTCGTAATGTGGTCATGAAGTACACAAAACGGCACAGACAGTTGCATCACACAATCGTTTTCCTCCATCAATTGCGATACTGATATTAAATCAAAACCAAGATTTTCAATATAGAAAACTTCAACTAAACTGAGACGAGAATTCAACACAACGGTTCCAACAACGTTTCCGACTACTGTTCTACCGTCAGCTAACATTATTTGTGTTGGTGTCGAAGGTCTAAGATTCGTAAGAATCTCTTTCTTACACGTCAAGTGGTGTGTCGCTCCTGTATCAAGTATCCAAGCAGGAGAGAATGACTTACCGGATAAGTGTTCGTCTGCTCCAATCATGGCCGCGTTCATGACTCGCTTCACACTGAGCCATTGTTCATCGGTGAGATTGCAAACCGCTGTCCTATATGCGTCAGTTATCGCCACATTTGCAACTCCAGTGTTTGGTTGCCCAATCACTTGCGCTATATTAGCACGAGCTGGAACTCCCCTTCCACGCGAGTTTCCACTAGGTGGTGGTCCGTTTCCTCTGCCTCGACCCATTCGATTTCGTGGCCTGTCGCCCCACCACTCTGGAAATCCCAGCAGCTGAAAACACGTCTCCGCCGGATGCCCAGTTCGTCCACAGTTTGAACAAGTAACACCCGTTTCATCTCCTCTGTTTTTGTATCTCTGCGTCTGTGCTACAAAAG